TCAAGAAAGAATGTGGAGCATCCCTGGTAAAATATCCTTCACATTCATCGGTGTCCATAGCTTCAGTGAATATGATCCTACTTGTGGAGAGAATAGAAGGATGAAAAGAAAGGAGGGAGAGGTGTAGAAAGAAGCATCGGTGCAAGGGCACATTCCTGTATTGTGTTCAGACAAAGACATTCTCTCTATACTGAGATTATATCACAGTATCATAAATGTTGAACTGTCCCAGAGCTTTCAGCTTTCTCCTGCCTCAAACCCTGCATCATTTCAGTAGCCCTTTGCTCGGTTCCCTTTGGTATGTCTATGTCTCTCATTTACTGGGAAGCTCAGAACTGGGCCCAGTATGCCAGCTATGTCTTGCCAGTGCTGAGTAGAGGGGAGAGATCATCATTCTCTGCCCTCCATCTGCTGGTAACACTCCCTCTCATATAGCCCAGGATGCTGCTGGCCTTCTTTGCTGCAAGGGTACATTGTTGGCTCATGATCAACTTGTTGCAAAGAAGGCCCTCTAGTTTTTTATGAAAAACCTTACCAGATTTGGAGCAAGACAAGGAAAAATAAAAATAAAAATAGGGAAATCAGTTAAGAATCATGGAATAATTGCATACATATTTCCAGCTTAGCCTTAAAATTTTAAACCTGCAATTGAACCAAATGTTAGAGCAAACAAGACCATCTACCTTCTGACTACTTTCAACAAGTCTCTAATGTGGTCCTGTAATGCACTATTATGCAATGAAATTGGCATAGTTTGGGATCTAATCAGAAAAGTAGTTTTCCCTGAATGTGCAAAATCAATTGCATATCAGTTGTTCCTATTCCATTAATAATATTTCCAATAGTAATACTTCATGAATAATAGTCCTATTCCATGAATAACATCAATGATAATAGATAGAAAACCTACAAATTAAATAGAAATGATGTGGTTGTAACTTAAATAAATTAATAATTTCTCAATGTCTGATAAATATTAAACTTACATAATACTCCACATAAATATGGGGGATCTTGAAAAAATATTTTCCTGTTCCATAATAAAATTAATTTATTCAAAAAAAAAACACACAACTTTTCTACGCATTAATAGAGATTTTTTTTTCTCCTAGTCTATCAATGATTGCAATAAATGTAAATCAAATTATAGGTTTGATAACCACTTTGAAAATCACTAAAGTTTTGGTGTATTGTAAAGGTTTTCAGTTCTGCATGTCACTTCAATAAGTTAACATCTAATGCCAACCAAAGGGATATTCCATACCATGCGGTGTCGCACTCAACAATAAAAGGTGGAAAAAGAGAAGGAGAGGGAAGGGGAGGTATCTCATTGTGAAAATGTCTGGCTTCCTGAACAACGGTTAAGTGTATTGAGGCAGGGATGTGGTTAAGCATCACTCATTGGTAGGAAATAGAAAGTAATTTCTTTCCTCTCTCTGTGCTTCTACATGGACTTTTTTTTTTTTTGTATTTTGGTTTTTCCATTTTTCCTTTAGCTAAATTACTTAATTTACCCCTAATAATAACTTTACCTTAAGAATTATTATTCCTTTCATTAAATTATAAGTTCTTGTCAATAAGAACATATTTCTTTTTCTTCATCCTGTTTCATTGACATTGCACATTTCACTGGATAATATCACACAGTGCAAGAGCAGGGTCACACAAGCATCAGAACAAAAATGGAAAAACAAATGTGTTAGAGAATACAGAGATATTTGGGCTCAGAGAGACATCTGAAATTCTCAGATTCTCCTATTAGGAAAGTTCAGAAAAGAATTTACTGGAGTGCTTTACCCAGTATGTTGGTGTATATATATTCCAGTATCCACAGACATAACTGCACAAATTTGTTCGTTTCCTTCACCACTCCTACTTCTTAGGCACATCTCCAAAAAAAACAAACATCAGCATTTGACCTCTTTGAAAATTCTTCCAGTGGTATGACAAAAAAAAAAATCATTTTGTATATCTTCTTTCTATAGCGCCTTGCTCGTAACAGCCATTTTGATTAAGTACCTTAAATTTGAAGAATTTGCTTAGTACATAAATATGCTCTTTGTTCCATAATGCATATTCTATGAGTAGTATCTTGGCTTTGCTTTAAAGCATAAAAACTCTCACAATACAATGTCTTCAGTGTGCTTCAAAGTGTTAAAGACTGTTACTATGCTAACACACCATCGGATTTTTAAAAGTATTCATTCTTTTCACAGTTAAATCTGTTGCATTTGTTGAATCATCTGTTGATGACCAAAAATGACATCATTGGATTGCATGATGAACAACAAAATTTTTCTTTGATTCTTAGATCAAATAACAATACAAATTATATGTTATAGATATGTGAAATATGTTCATCTTATTCATGTCAATATGCTAGGGCATATGAAATGTGACTTTCTGTCTTACATACCCTTGTATAACCAGAAGTCTAAGAAAAACAGAGTAGTTAATGTATATATAGTGTTATATATAATGTATAATGTTCTTGCAAAAGAATGGTCTTCATGTCAATATAGGGTTTGAAGGGTAAACCTTGTGACTTGGGTATAGGTGATAAGAGAACAAAGGAGTTTCCAAAAACTGCTGACTTTTGTATGGGATGCTGTGCAAGTCTCTGATATCTGGGCTAAGAGATTACCAAGTAAGGAGAGGGGGGAAGCTGAAGAACGACTGAAGGACAAAGCCTGGGAGGAAGACTATGAGCCTTCAGTACGAGCAACCCTGCAGAGAGATCACTGGAGACCGATACGCATGCATCTGTGGGATGGTTCGGATCCCGGGAAACTAATTATAATAACCCTGCCTTTTCCAAAAGTGGTGATGAATATGTATTAGCCTAGGAGCATAAAAACCAGCTGCCTGATGTAATAGGTGTGTGTCTTGGTGGAGCGGAGACTCCCAGTGCACCCAGCGCTGTTTGTTTGCCTCTATTCATTTAATAAATTGTAAACTTTAATTGCAATCTTATTTGGGACTCAGTCATTTATTACACATATAAGACAAATATAGATATAAATATATGTTATTAATACTCCAAGACAGTTGAAACTTAATTTGTAAAGTATATTAACTGTCTTCAAAATATTTATTTATTGAATATAAGAATTCTTTTAATATAATTCTGCTAATGTCAGTGACAGAAATGGAATTAATAGGAAAATTTCCCATGAGCCCTTATAGTCTTGGCGAGACACTGGAATTTCCCCAAGGGATTTCTACAGAGCTATGTCCTGGTAAGATATAGAGTAATAGGGGATAAGAATTCAGCCTGGATTAAGCAGAGAGTTACTCAGTCAAAGTTTTATGCTGCATTTAAGTCATTGGAAGGATCCAGATTCCTCAAATGGGTATAATTTTACAAATTCTCTTGAGTAATATTTCTATGTAGCTCTGTCATGCAAAATGGTTAGGATTTAAAACTAAAGAAGAGCTTAACTCTGTCTTCAGCAGAGGCTGTGTTTTATTTCAGCTTGCACATTCAAACAGAAGATGAATAGTCTCTGCAATTACATTTTAAGAGATCTTAAACAGTATAAGGCTCATAGGAGATGTTATACAGACAGCCCCTGAGAATGTAGCATCCTTCAAACCCGTGCAGCACAACCAGGGAAAATGTTTCCTTCTACTAGAAGCCTACCAGCAAACCATTTCTCCACTCCTAAGGAACATGAGGTTTTATTTCTGTTATGGGAAATAATCCTTGCATGATTTGCTCAAATGAGAGAGCTAGAATATTGCCAGAAGAAAAGACAGAACCTCAAAGGACAGGCTGAACATCCTTTCCCTTACAAAGAATTGCCCTAGTCCCTGAGATGTGCCCATCCATACTTAGCAAAGAAGCTGTCAAATCTTAACTTGGTCTCATTGACTATAAAGTGGTCCCCAAAGACAGCTCCTGTTAAAACAATTCTGAAGAATGAAAGCCTTACTTTGAGAGCAGTGACACCTACACAAGCTTGAAATAAAGCGGTCTAATGGCTCTTAAGAGCTTGGGAATTTTTTAACACTTTTCCTTCATGTAAGAAAAGCACTACTTTTTTTTCAGCACTCTTCTTAAACATTTACTGTGAAAAGGAAACATTAAATAACAATGTCACTGATTCTTTAGTGAATTTCAAGACAGAAGTGAATTGGTTGTTGTGCTATGTCTGATACAAAGAGTATTAGAATTTTTTTTCAGACTGGATTTTCTATAGCCTCAGTAGCATAAACAATCAATCACAAACAGATAGATAGACGAAGTAAAACTTTCTTTAAACCCATGTGTAGACTAAAATAGAAATTATAAAACCATTACCTAAAGTCTTTGTGCTAGCTGCTTGTTCATAAAGGTAATTAACACCAGAGTATTCAGTTTCTTAGGCTATAAACTTATTAGTAATATTTAATTGGCACAGCACTGTGTCTCTTTCCATATGTACAGGTAGAGATTAATATAAAGAGAACTATTCTAATTACAAATATAAAAAGTTGAGCAGTGCCAACACATGGTTTGCTACCAAACATAAGAGTGAAATAATGGCAGTACACAATGATGTACAACTCAGTGACTTGCCAATAACCTTCTCTTGACATTAAAAAAAAAAGTCTTAAATGGGAGAACAATCTGCTTCATTTATGCATTATTCTTAATCATGTTTGCATTCTCTAGTTAATTTGCTATAGCTGTTTAAGGTAAAAATGAAACCTTATTGTTGCACTTTTTCAAGTTTTTTAAAGTCAAAATGAACAGCCAAATATAGTCAGAAGAAGAATAAGAAAAAAATTATATGGAAAATACTACAATAGAGACACAAACATGAAGTTATTAGCTAAGGGGAGATAGCAGTATTACTGCTAGAATAGATGCAGAAGAAAGGGCTGAAAAGGAGACTAGAGCAGGATAAAGGAATAAGCTGGAAAAAAAGAGTTTATTTTTTGTGTAAAATTAAAAATAGTGAAACAAATGAAATAAAGTAAAAAATGCTTTTTGCAGAACAAGAAATATTAGAGAAGAGGAAGAAGAACATCAAGAAAGCAAAAGAAAGAAAGGAAATATATGAAGAAAACAAAAGAAAAAGAGGTTGTTCATTTATTTCATACAGTGTATTACCACAGAACCTGGAAGACTGCAATAACATCTCCCCAGAGCCTTCTCTTCTCCAGCCTGAACAACCCCAGCTCTCTCAACATTTCTTCATAGGAAAAGTTCTCTTGCCCTCTAACCATCTTCATGACCATTCTTTTCGGTGACATCTTTTCATGACATATTTTTGGTTTTGGGGGTCCTAAAACTGAATGCAGTACTCCAGCTGTGTCTCACAAGGGCAGAACAGAGAGGGAGAATCACCTTCCTTGACCTGCTGGCCACACTTTTTTTTTTTTTTATGCAACCCAGGATACAGTTGGTTTTCTGGGCTGCAAACACACATTGCTAGCTCATGTACAATTTTTCATCAACCAGCACCCCAAGTCCTTCTCCTCAGGGCTGCTCTCAATCCATTCATACCTCAACTGTACTGATGTTTGAGATTGCTCTGACCCTGGTGCAGCACTTTGCAGTTGGTGTTCTCGAACATCATGAGGTTCCCATGAATCATTGGGATTAGAAATTAGAGAGCGATTGATTCACTTAGACCTCCAGATAACAGGAGCCCCTCATGGTTCAGACTTTAACCAAGGGTTCAGAGATAAGGACAAAGGGACAAGATGAGAAATGTTAAACATACAAGACCTCAAGATAACAGGAGCCCCTCAGACACCAAGAACCAGATCAAACCAACCTTATGGCTCAGATTGTGACCAAGGCCTCACAGAGCATGCAGAAAGAGATGAGGTGAACAGTTCAACCCTGATGAAGACACCTTACTTCATCCCCACAACCCTCAATGCCCACTACCACAAGGCACTGAGCAAGTGCAGACAAGAGGAATTTATGGAAATGACTTATTGTAGCTAATTTTAATACTGAGCAGGAACAGGTCGTGCATATGTATAGGCGTATTGGGAAACCTCATGCATATGTAACTCTTTACTGCATATAACCAGGGCAAGTTGCCACGTTAGGTGTGCATGACTTTGGTGGGACTATCCCTGTGCTGCCCAGCGCTGAATAAACATACCTACTTTACAATCTTACTGATTGTGGAGTCAGCTTTCCGCAAGTCACCCATGGGCCCAATACTTGAGCCTGTCAAAGTCCCTCTGGATGGCATCCCTTCCTTCTATTATGTCAGCTGCAGCACTCAGCTTAGTGTCATCTGCAAACTTGCTGAGGGGCACACAATTTCACTGTCTCTCATTAATAAAGATATTAAACAGTACTAGTCCCAGGACAGGGTGCACCCTTCAAATCCATACCTCTCCCATCATGGAGATGACATCAGGATGTCATGTGGGACCCTGTCAAAAGCCTTACAGGAGTCCAGGTAGATGACATTGGTCAGTCTTCCCTTATCAACTGATGCAGTCTCTCCATCATAAAAGGCCATCAGATTGGTCAGGTACGATTTGACCTTTGTGAAGCCATGTCTCAGATAACCTTCCTGTTTTCCATATGGCTTAACATAGCTTCCAGAAGGATCTGTTCCATGATCTTCCCAGGCACAGAGGTGAGGGTGACTGGTCTGTAATTCCCAGGGCCTTTCCTTTTTTTTTTTTTTCCCAGTCATGAGGGACTTCACCTAACTGCCATAACTTTTCAAATATGATGCAGAATGATCTGGTAACTACATCAGCCAATTCTCTTAGGACTCTGGGATGCATCTCACCAAGTACTATAGACTTACGTATGTTCAGGTTCATCAGGTGGTCTTGGAACTCTTCTTCTCTCACAGTGGGAGAGATTTCCATACTCAATTTCTGCCTTGTGTCTCAGGGACTTGAGAGATGTGTTAGGAGTGATTGCCAGTGAAGACTGAGCCACAAAAAAAAAAAACAAAAAAACAAAAAAAACGTTGAATTCGTCCTCCTTCTCCGTGTCTGTTTTCACCAGTTCTCTCATCTTGTTTATCAGAGTTGGTATATTCCCTTTAGTATTCATTTTCCAGCTAATGTACCTGTAGAATATTTTATTATTATTTGCATCCCTTGCCAAGTTTAGCTGCAACTGTACCTTGGCTTTCCTGATCCCATCTCTACACATGTGGGTTGAATTTCTATACTCTTTCCAGGCCACATGTATCTGCTTTCACTGCCTATGCATTTCCTTCTCATGCTTCAGTCTGACCATCAGGCCCTTACTTAGCCACGCTGGTTTCCTGCTTTCCCTGCTTCTTGTATGTAATTGTGATGCTTCTTGTAGCTGGAGCAAGAAGTATTCGTCAGCATACTCCCTTTGATAGGGTAGCCCATAGTAAAAACAACCACAAGAATTCATTTGGTCCCTATTTTTTTATTTTTTTTTTTATAAACTCTTGACCTGTTCATGGCTATTTTTCAGAGAGCGCTCTTCACAACTAATCTGTTTCTTTACGTAGAGGGTAATCCCTTTGCCCCTTGTTCCTTGCCTGCCTCTTCTAAACAGTTTGTAGCCATTAATTGCAGTGTCCCAGTGATGCAATTTGTCCCACCACATTTTGGTGATAGTGATTAGGTCATAGTTTTCTAGTTGCACTGTACTTTACAACTCTTCCTGTTTGTTTCCCATACTGCATGTCTTTCCATGTATATACCTGAAGAGAAGCACAGAACAAAAAATCCCAGAAGTGAGACAAATATTTTCCAATAATTTGAATATACAAATCTCAAATGTATAAAGAAAAAAATTGGAAGTGACCATATGAAAATAAAAACAAGTGACTTTTCATTAGTAAGAATATTTTCATTTTAAAAATAATAAGGAAATAATGATTTTAGAAGTTTTCTCTTCAGCAAACAAATATGAATAGCTACAGACACAAAAACATAAATAATATGAACAAAAAACTAAGCTTATAAGTTTTAGTCTTTGCTAGCCCACTTCTCAACTGTCAACAAAAGTATATTTCTGTTAATTCAAACATTATAATTAAAAATAGCTTTAAGAAAATGTTTAGTGATATTCCAAACAAAATAAAACTTTCAGTATTGCCATATGTAACAAACAACACATCGCAGCATGAGTCTAAGACAATATACAAAATCATGTTCCAAGTTTATTTTAACCCCATTTTAAGATTTTGTCTTAAAATACTGTTTTCTGTATACTGGCCTTGAGATACACCTCCCTGAAAATTCCCAGTGCTGTCGCTTTCTGTATTGGGTTGTTAATTTGCTTATAGCAGCCTGTATGGTGTTATGTGCTAGATATGTGACCAAAGCAGTGTTAACAGTACAGTGATCTGTAGCTACCACTTAGCAGTGCTTGCACAGCATCAAGACCTTCTCAATTTTTCACTAAGAAACTCAGTTGCTCATGCAAGAGGTAGCCCTGCACAAGGATAGAGGTGCACAGAACACAGCAGAGACAGCTGATCCGAACTGCACAAAGGGATGTTCTTTACCATATAGTGTCATGCTCACTCATTCAGCCCAGGCAATTTTTTTTTTCAGAGGTATCTGTTGCTCAGAGACTGGATGGGAACTGGTTTGCTGGTGGGAGGTAGTGAGTGATTGCTTTTGAATCAGGAGGGGTTTTTTCTGTTCATATTTTCTTCACTTATGAAAACATTTTTATCTCAACACATGATTTTTTTTTTCTCACTTTGGCCCTTGTGATTGTGTCCCCCATTCTACTGGGAGGTAGTGAGGGAGTGACTGGGTGGGAGCTTAGCTGCTCTCCAGAGTCAACCTAACAACCCACGCTGTATCTCTAGTGAGGAAGGACTGGTGTCATGTTAGGTCTTTATGAGAACTGCCTATGTCTTCCCAGCAGAGCACATAAGGTTGAACTGACTTGACAGTAAAAGCTGGGGGAGCCTGAGGAATCGGGAGAACCCTGAGAAATTCAGCTCAGTATTTCTTTTTTTTTTATTTTTTCCTCTTTTTTCCTTTCCTTTTTTTTTTTTTTTTTTTTTTATGCCTGCAGGGAAGTGGGCACAGCAAATTTCCTGTTTCTGTTCTCATCTTGACCATCTTCCAAAAATAACCTGTCTTGTATATACCTTCACCCACACCTTTGCAGGGGTAGAAGCAGTAGCCAGACCAGCTTTCTAGAAACAGTTCAGGAATAGATAGATGTAGGCAGCAGACCTTCCAGTCCATTCTTCTGGGGAGCAGCATGTTTTGCCTGGGCTCAGAGGCAGCCACAAACCTTAGGATTATTTCAGTATTTAAAACAAACAAACAACAAAAAATAGGGAGTAATCTTCTACTCCCTTCAGAATACTATTGTACTCAGAGCAAGAAGTGACGTCTGCAAACATGGTAACTGAGATTACACCAACACTTCTTGCCAATCAGGGATGTCCTTATTCAGAGAACATTATCTGTTATGAAAAATGAGCAAACACCAGTCTAATCTTTGTAACCGCATGAGTCCCTGCTGACATGTTACTCATTAGCACCAGACTATCTGGCAATTTTGTGAGCTCTAAAGGTTTTGAAATTGGTTTGAATTTCACATTGGAACAAACCCCATATCTTCTTGGTTTCAAAAATGGCACTCTGTCAAAACCATATTTTTTAGATCAATAATACAAGGTTTTCATTTCAGATCTCTATTCCTAACTGCCATCAGAAGTGACTAGAGCACCCTGGATCTCATAAACCTTTCTATTGCAAAAACTTCCTCAAAATCAATATCTCATTGCACATATATTTTTAGACAGTCCTATATTCTTCTGGACATTCTTAAAGTAATGGAAACTAATCAAAAGTTTTGTTTATTTGAACTGATAGATGAATATTTATCTACACTGTTAATGTTTTAATAAAGTTATTCTGGTACTTACCTGAGTTACTAGTGAAACACTGTTTGGAGGGCTAAGTATGTACTTCTGATTAGCTTATGGGAAAACTGGATGTTGCTAAAGGTTATCCTACCTAGTGAGGCAAAAGAGACATAAACAAGACAATAATTCCTGAAAATTAAAACCAGAACATGGAAATTTCACAGTGGTCTGGAAAGGGGGAAAAACAAGGACCAAACCATTCAGGTGGCTTCATCTAAAATGAACAACAGCTCATAAATCAGAGTAACGTATGACTGACACAAAGAGAGAAGAGCTAAAGTAATTCAAGCACCGCCTTTCCAGTGTAACATTTGCTGGGATGAGCAAGTGATTGCAAAAACCAGCAACTGACAAATTAGTTCTAGAGACAAGAGCAATTCACAAAAACTAAAAGAGTTCAAAGGCAGAGCTTCAAATGAGATTACTGGAGCAAGTAGGGTAATGACGTTCAGCAACGTCGTATGTGGTTATATTCCTGGTGTTTGTAGTAGCAGACTTTGACCAAACAGGCATATCTATATACAGTAACAGGAACATTTATTGTAATTTTTATATCACCACCTACAGATGATAGTCTGTATATTTATAATGAGATTCTCCAGCCCTTGCTGTTCTCTTTTTCATCCTCCCACTTCTTTTATTCAAGTAAGAAGAGAGAGACAGGCTAAAAGATACACGAAAAAGATCAGAAGTGTTTCAAGAATGCAAGAATTTAAAAGTACCTCTTGTGCATTTAGTAAATGTGACTGACGGGCTTTTCATGAATTAAGCCACTGTGTTTTTAATGCCAAGCTGCTCAGGTAGAACTTGCAGACACAGGTGACCACAGATTCCTAACAAACATTCACCTGTCCCCTCTCTTCATAGCACAGGGCCCAGTTGATAAAGCCACCTTCAGAGTGAGAAGTACCTATTCACATTCAGACAAATAACAGTATGGCTGAGGTTGGATGGACCTCTGAAGATCACCTAGTCTAACCTCCCTACTGAGCAGGATCACCTGGAGCACATTGCACAGGATGACATCCAGGTGGGTTTTGGATATCTCCAGAGAAGGAGACTTCACAGCCTCTCTGGGCAACCTGTCCCAGTGCTCTGTCACCCTCACAGTAAAGAAGTGCCCTCTCATATTCAGACAGAACCTCCTGGGCTTCAGTTTGTGCCCGTTACCTCTTGCTCTGTTGCTGGGCAAAACTGAAGAGAGACTGGCTCCATCCTCTTGACATGCTCCCCTCAAGTATTTATACACACTGATGAGATCTCCTTTCAGTCTTCTCTTTTCCAGCGTAAACAGGCCCAGCTTTATCAGCCTGTCCTCATACCAAAGGTTCTCCGATCCTCTTATCAACTTCATAGCCCTCCCCTGAACTCGCTCCAGCAGTTCACAAGTAATTGTGAATGATGTCCAATTAGCAGTTATAAGTCTGGTTGCATTCAGAGTACTGAACTATCACGATTACAGATTCACAAATAACTTAATACATCCTCAATCTAGTCACGTTCTATGAAATACCATGGCCGCACTTACAGTTTGGTCATGTTCAATAAGAACTAGCACAGCTAGATTTAATGAGTAGTGCAATTTATTAAAGCAACAGGTGCACAGGTTCTTTGGAATGACAGTGATAAATTCACTGTCTTCAAAGCACATGCAAACACTAAAAGTATGAGTAACTCAGCCTGGCTATAAATGCATTAAAAGGTATAAAGCAACACTATAGAGATTTCTAAGTTACCTGGGGAGGCACTCAGCATAACCAAGTGTTCAAATGTTACCCAAAGGTGGGGAAGAGAGGCTCATCCTGTCAACTGATCCCAGAAGTCAGAAGGTATCCTTTGTGAGGGTATCTTCCCTGACACCCCCTCTCTTAAGCCAATTTATATCATTTTTTGTCTTTTAGGTGGAGCTTGAGTGACTCTAGTCGTGCATATCTTGGTTACGATTGGTGCAAGTTTTCTTTGCTTTTGTTTAAAGGTATAGACTCAGAAATTCAGAGTGCATGCTCAGTGAGAGGTGATTGCACTTTGGAGGTGGGTAGCTTTTGGGATGGAGGTGTGTTTTGCTATTATAATGATATTATAATGAGCAAAGTTTACTAAAGTACAGCATTTTGTCAAAAACATGAGAGGCTATTGGCGCAGTGTAGCCAATGTGTAGCTTATTATATCAGTTTCAGTGTGCACGAGAACAATCAAGTTCCCATCTTATCACAGAACCTAGCCACGGTGTCTCCACTCTGTATTTTTCCTCTTAGAGTCAGCACACCAAGTTTCCACAGTGTGATTAACTCCTAAGGTTGGATGCCTAGGGAACATTTACACAGCGCAGCTAAACTCCACCCTGGAAGCTTCTTCAATGATGTACCTTTTCTTTAAAATGTGAATATCAGTTTAATTTCCAAGTTACCTCAGGCAATTATTCCACACCACTCCTCTCAGCGTTGTGTCATCAGCAAATATGACATATTTCAGTATTTCAGTATAATGCCTTCTTGGTCCCTTGAAAAGTGACCTCAGCCATCACCTAACTCCAAACCAATGTAAGGTATGAGCCATTCCCCTAGCTGGCTAAGAAAGGAAGTCTGGGGAAGGAAGATGATGAGGAGAGCTGTAGTGTGCACTGGTAAATCCTGTGCTGTGGGCAGATAGGGCACAGGACTGTGGGGAGCACTGTGCATTTACCCTGTGGCATAGGCACAGCCACAGCTCCCTAAACCCTTCCTGTGCATGTCATGTCCCCCTTTCCATGTTTCAGCCATGAGGCCAATACAGCAGCCTGGTAGAGTGGGTAGAAGGAACACAAGAGAACTTTTGCAAGCATGCTGAATCTTCAACTGCCTGCCTTCTATCAGCTGGAGCACACATTTAAATGAATTATCCTTATATTCCTCAGATTTGATGCATCTTGGTTTGTGTTGTGTTTTTGATTGTTTGCTTGTTTGCTTGCTTGTTTTTACCTACCCCATTCTTTCCTCCTTTAGCTTTGGCATGATAGATGTAATTTTGCATTGCTGAAGATCTGGCTAGTCATCTGTTTGGAAATGACTTTGTGTTAGATAAAGTCTAGTGCAAGCAAGGTAGGTATTTTTACTCTTCTTGAATCCTCATGGAGGTGCAATTGGTTAAGAAAAATAGAAGTTTGACATTTTAACATTAGGGGAAAAAAAAGGTGAGACACTTCAGCAAGATAAAATGCATGCCTTCATAAACTTGCCTCCCCCAGCATATTTAGTGACTTAAGGTATGCACTCTCCTACCTCTTTAGCATCCCCAGCTCTCTTTGTTCAGCACATGGAAAGTGTAGGTGCCTGACCCAGTGGTTCAAATGCCAGTCTTGAAGCTACTCTACATCCAGATCTGGAACCAAGCCACCTGCAGCTGGTACACAACACTGCACCAAGTGTTTCAACATATAAGTCATTCACCTCCTCTGAAATTCACCTTTTGTGAAGATTAACTTCCTTCCTGGGGATCCTATGAGATCTCTTGCTGTAAACCTGTGCATTTTCACAAAATGTTTTAGACCTGAAGAAGCACCATTTTATGAAGTAAAAGAGGTTTGCTGAAAAAATTATGATGCATGCAGGTCAATGATAGATTCTTTCCTCCTACTTCCTTCATTCACTAGAGAAAATAGAAACCAGTTGGAGAGTTGGATGCGTTTGTGAGAAAACTACTTGGGAGCTTCCTGCTAGCAGGAAAAGAAAGCGTGAGATTGAAGAAAGAGTGCTGCCTTTCTCACCTCCTCTGTAATATGCAAGACTGGATTTACGTTGCCACCTACCAGCCCAATTTGGCTCTGATGTAGTTTGTAGATTTCCATTTTGGTAATTTTCTCTTTGTTTTATGAGCCCTCTGCTCATGCCTGCTTGTGGAAGGTGAATCTGGACAAGTCTCAAGCATAATGAAAGCAGTGTTAACATGAATATCACTAAAATGTCATAAAAATTAAAAGTTTTTTTTTTTTTTTTTAATAGCCACATTGCTTTTCTGTCCTCCCCAAACCTTCTTGTTTTATTATTATTTTCTTCATAAACTATGGAATGTACATAGCCGCATGTCTGAGGCTTCTCACAGATTATCTGAACTGATCTTCATTTGTGTTTGGGACATCTATTTAATCTGTTTAATTTTGGAAATGGAACACTCTATCTATTCTAACAACTTTATTTAGTTGAATTAAACATTGGTCATTAGCCACCATACACTCAGGAATGTTCTTCTCTGTCATTAAGATGAATAGCACTGGAGAATTATTCTAAAATTTCAAGATGCACATAGAGTCTTGTTCATTTCAATCAGTTAACTCAGGTCCCTGTTAACACTAGTTCCAATTGATAAATTACTGCAGCTTTGGGACTATAGCAAAGGCTGAACCTATCTTTTATTTTTAAATGATTTGAATTAATTAGTCTTCTACAGGTTATACAACTGCACTCCAAGGAATTCTGCAACACTCCATTTGGGCAGTTGGATGGCACACCTGGTTTCCAGAGTGAGTAAAATAATTCCGATTTATTATACTCTAGTCCTCGTAGTCAGCTGAGAAGTAAAAAACACAGAAGAGTGACATGTCTCGTACACAAAAAGGAGAAGGAATAAAGAAAACAGCTGAAAATATTAGATGTCTATTGTTCATATGCTAATGCATGATAGATATGAAGATTATTATGAATAGTGTTATTCATTCTTATTATCCCCACTAAGTATAGCATCATTATTTCCTGAATTTTCTTTAGAATAAATAAGAGGAAAACTTTAATGAATTCTCCTAGAAGCCAGTTTTGGTGGCAGCTGCTGTTCAAAATATGTAGCAAGCTTTTTTTTTTCCTCCAACATAAAGACAGGGAATCAAATGATTCATAGGAAAAAAAGTCATGAGTTTTCCTGCATTTCATAGACACTCTCTACAGATTCTAGAGCTGTCAGCTGACTAGAACACAGTTGGCTCTTAAAATACACATCTTTTATAACATTTATTCCTGCTGTTTATGAAAGAAATACACCCTGCCCTTCCTCCAGATCTTCTTTTATAATTTGCATAGCTTGGTTGAGATTTGACCATAAACTTCAATGCATGAATATTTTATGGATAAATTATCCCATTAAAATGGAAAATAATTTGCTAAAATATTTTAGTATACTTTGTGAGATACAGAAATTAAAAAAAACACATTTTGATTTTGAAGCCAGATTGTGTTTAACATCCTTAAATAAATGACATTTTCAAGATATATGATTGGATTTTGAAGGCAAAACCAAAAAGCATCAGTAACGTTGCAAGTTCAAGTATTTTTATCACTATTGCAATCTTACTTTTTCTGACATATCTTGCTTATGTGTTTTTGATTATTAAAAAAGATCACAACAACAAAAGGTACAAAGAGACACTTGCAGTGGTTAATTCAGTGGTAAAGCAGAGCCTGCAGTAAGAGAAAACATTCTTCTCTGTCTTAAGTTTGCTATTTCTACATAAATCTGCTAGATAATCACATATGGCACTATCCTGCAAGATGGCAGGTGCTCTGTGTGAGATGCTCTGTTTTCTGAAAGTTGAGTGGGAGTTGAGAAGTGTTTTGGACTATGTTGCACTATGATGAGAAACTGAGCAAGAATTGTTTATTTTCATGTTTATGGTTCTGACTTTGTTGAAAAAGAAAAAAAAAATTAAACAGCCAGGGAAGGCTAATTAAACTCAAATTCCTGCAATTATTTGACCCACCTGGGAGGATACAATCGGTGTCTTTCTCATAAGAATACAGAATGCTTAAAAACAGAGGCCATAGGTTTGTTTAGTCTTTTCTCATACATCTTCTTCTTTTTTTTTTTTTTTTTTTTTTTTTTTTCCCCCCTCTCTCTCTCCAGTAGATCCAAGAGGTTTAATAAGAAAAGTTCAGAACAGTTTTTCTAGCTGAAAAGATGAAGCACTTTGGGGAGAATTAGATCCAGCACAAGACAGAGGAAGGTGGAAAAAAAAGAAAAAAAGAAAAAAAAAAAAAAAAAAAACAACTGGCTAGGTAACATTTCCGCTTCTGTACATTCTTAGTCTTTGACATCAAAGCAAGAATTACACTTTGAGTAAGATGAAAACATGTTCTTGATGTTCTGGTATCCCTGGCAAGAATAGCCCTGAGCTCAGAGACAAGCAGTCCAGGAGACCAACTGACTAAAGCTTCGTGATGCTGAAGCAGGGAGCAGGTGCCAGCAGGTTGGAAAGCTTCATGGGGGAATAATGTTTTCTTGTTCAGTCACCAAAAGGGAAATTATTGCTAACAAGCTAACAGTTGTTGTTCTATTTAAATTATCCTGGTAAAATCATCTTTTCTGACACCTATTCCCTATACTGCATCTAAACAACACATGATGTGCCATCCAATAAGTTAAGCAAGACAGCTGTAAGTGCAGGCAGCTTGCAGATGATTCATTTTTATGATATGATTGTAATGAGCAGTGCTCTTTCTGGAGATGCAATGATTTCCTTTGACCTTGTTCAATGTGCATTAATATAAGTCTGAAAATAAAATCTCTGCTTGAAAGCTTCTGCAGTAAGCTGTGGCACTCTGTCTGGTGAAAAACATATATTTATCAGGAATTTAACATGCAATCTGCTCTAACTTAGTCTTAAGCCATCTATGGGGTATGCCACATATGCTCTGAGACAATGGGAGAGTTGAACTGCCAACTGCCTCACACTGACAATAGGAGCTTATGACAATTTGAATCTGGCAGCTGATTCTAATTAGGACAGACTTATAGCCCACCCTTCAACTATTCAAGCAGGCAGCACTGCTGGCTATGGTCTCTTTCCCACTTTCACTCCAGGAGTACTGGGACAGAGACAGTAGCC